CATCTATTGTTTCTCGATTGAGATACAAGTATTTTGTACTCTTCATTGATGATTGTACTAGGTACACTTGGATCTACTTTCTCAAACACAAATCAAAAGTTTTCCCAACTTTTTGGTTGTTTCATACTTCATACCATAGTTCAAGTCTGGTTTCAAGCAAGTGTGCAAACCTTACACTCTGACTCAGGGGGAGAATACAGTGATGGAGAATTTCTGATTTATTTGAAAAATCACGGCATACAAGTCCAACAGTTCTGTCCAAACACTCCTTAGCAAAATTGTGTGGCAAAACAAAAGAATGGTCACATTCTTAGTGTTGTGAGGACTCTTCTACAAGTCACATTTGCCTCCCACCTTCACAACATGTCTCCTCATCAAAAGATGTTTGGATCCCCCCCAGATCTTTCCCATTTACGTGTTTTTGGGTGTCTATGTTTTGTTCATCCTCCACCTCGTCAATGTTCAAACCTTTCAGCTCAATCTGTCATGTGTACCTTTGTTGGATATAGTCCTAACCATAAGGGATTTCTTTGTTATGATCCCTTTGCATGTCATATTTGTATTTCTCAGAATGTGATTTTTCTTGAGCATATCTCTCTTCTCAAGAGTTGCCAAGTTATCAGCACCCTCTATTTCTGTTTTGTATGACTTTGACTCACAGGATGTTCCATCATCAACTGCTAGGAAAGATCTTCTTGTCTTCTCTCGCAGGCGAGTTCGTGGTCCAGTACCTACGTCTATGACCCCTCTTCTTCCCGGTCCAGATCCTTTGCTCGTCTTACATAACCATGTAAGTGACATTCCTATTTCAGACCCCTCGGATGTTTCTCTAGTTCCTTTATGTCGTTCTACCCGTATATCTAAACAACCTGACCGCTATGGTTTTCCTTCAGACCATAGCTCCTTTTTTGATGTCTTGTCTTCCACATATATTCCCCGATCATACCAACAGGCCATTAGCAGTCCTCAATGGAGAGATGCCATGGATGCAGAGATTCAAGTTTTGCATGAGAACGGCACTTGGAATCTAGTTCTTGCACCTTCAAATGGAACTGTTATTGGAAGCAAATGGGTCTACTCCATCAAGTTGAAATCTGATGGGTCTCTAGACCGCTATAAAGATCGGCTTGTGGCTCAGGGCTATATACGGGAGTATGGCATCGATTGTGAGGAGACATTTTCCCCAATATCCAAGATCACTACATTCCATGTTCTCTTAGCCCTCTCTACTGCAAAATCTTGGACTATCTTTCAACTAGATGTGAAAAATGCCTTTCTTCATGGGCACCTAAAAGAGACTGTTTATATGAAGCCTCCTCTGGGGTACTGTAGTGATTCCTTCCTCATCTGTCGATTGAAGAAATCTCTCCATGGGCTAAAGCAAGCTCCTCGAGCTTGGTTTGAAAAATTCAGAGATGTTGTGCAAGCCAAGTATAACCAAAGTGCTTTTGATTACTCTCTCTATGTGGAAAAGACCCCAAGGTCTTATGGTTCTCCTCCTGTATATAGATGACATGTTGTTGACTGGAGATGATATTGAAGGAATTCTGGAGCTCAAGTCTTTTCTTCACAACTCCTTTCACATGAAGGATTTAGGCCCTCTACCTATTTCTTGGGACTTGATATTCAAAGGAGTTCCCGGGGATACTTCATTTGCCAACACAAGTATGCCTCTGATCTTGTCTAGTTGGCCGGTATTACTGACGACAAACGGGTAGAAACTCCCTTAGAACTGAATGTCAAATTGTCCAAGTCAGACGATCCCTTGCTTCCTGATGCCTCCCTCTATAGGCAACTTGTGGGATCTCTCATCTATTTCACCATGACTCATCCTGACATCTCGCATGCAGTTCAAGTTGTCAGTCAATTTGTCTCTACCCCACATCAACTCCATTTGACTGCAGTACATTGGATCATTCTTTACATTCAGGGCACTTTATCACAAGGTCCCTTCTTCTCTTCATCTTCCTCTATACATCTAAGGGCCTATGCTGATGCAGATTGGGTTGGATGCCCCGACACACGCCGTTCCACTACTAGGTGGTATGTCTTCATGGATGACTATGTAATCTCATGGAAATGCAAGAAACAACAGATTGTTTCCAAGTCCTCTACATAAACAAAGAATAGGGCAATGTCATCTATTTGTAGCGAAGTTGTTTGGCTTCAATCTTTATTTCAAGAATTGGGTCACACCTCTCCTACACCCAAACGTCTGTATGCAGACAACACGTGCTATTAAGATTGCCTCTAATCCTGTCTTTCATCAAAGGACAAAAAATATTGAGGTGGACTGTCACTTTATTTGTGACCTACTTCGTGGGGGCTCTATCTCTCTCCCTCATATTGCCTCCAATATGCAAGTTGCAGACATCTTTATGAAGGCCATGACGAGATCCAGACACTTATTCCTTGTAAGCAAACTGTTGCTCATGCCTTTGCATCAGTTTGAGGGGGAGTGTGAAGAGTCTCACTAATGTACCATATTAGTGTAGTCCTTGCTGTATTGTATCTTGTATTTTCTTGTTATTTTCTCTTTAGCCCTTCAAGGGCCTTTTTTGTAAATATTATTATTTTACTAATCTTTATGTTGAGGCTCTTGGGGTTGGGCTGAACTATTCAATTCTTTAACCCCAGAAATCTGTCTTCTTCTCTCTTGTACAAACCTACTTGGTTGACATCTTTTCTTTTGCAAGGTTTCCAGTGTGCTTAATTTCCCGAGAGAGGCTTCCGAACAGAGGTTAGGTCTTTTCTATTCTTTTACCTTGTACATTACTTATTGTGTTACAAGGACAGAAGTGTCATTTTACATATTTTAATATAAATAGCCTCTTCTTGGTGTGGACGACACATTAGACACACCCCAAATCTGCTGTGTTCATTCTTGTACAAACTGCACTAACAAAAAAATAGATGCATATTCATGGAAGAGTATGGGGAAAGAGAAAGCCAAGAAAGTTAAGAGCAATATCATCCCAGTGGAAGTTTTTGATATAAAAAGTTAATTGAGTGCATGCTCTTCCAGAGGAAAAAGTAATAGTACAGAAGGATCATTCCCAACAGAGCATCTAAGGATCATTATTGAGGTGACTGCTTGATAGAGATAGAATGGAACAGAAATAGGGATAGGTCCAATGGATCATTAGAGGCAATACTACTTAAATAGGCAAGATATCCGCTGCAATTCCAAAGTGCCCTCATTCCACTTGGATCCTACATTTACCAACTGGGTAGCTGATAGTCTTGAGTGAGAGAATTTCAAGAAATGAACTTTATAGGGGGATCTCACTACCAGGTTGAGCGCTATTGAGAATATGCAATATGATGAAAGGGTTTTTTTGGGTTTTTTTTTTTATTTCCTCTTTGTTTTGGGCTCCCAAGTAAGGGAAAGCTTGTACTTTCAGCAACATTATAAATTTTTAGTCTCTGGTGTGAGCAGTAACTCGAGACACACCTTCGTAACATTTCTTCTTCTCTTCTTCTCCCTTCTTCTCCTCCTTTCTCTTCTTCTTCCTTTGTTTTTAGGCATCACCTTAAACAACATGGTATCAAAGCTCATTTGGATTCAGGGTAGGTTCCTATGACTTCCTCTTAGGAATCTTCTAATCTAATGGAAGAATGGGACATCCTCTGGTTCTAGTAATCCTTCCAATGCATATGCTAAGTCAGGTACTGCACTTGCTTGCCTCTCCACTAGTAACCCATGGATTGTGGACTGTAGAGCCAGGGCCCACATGACTAGTATGTCTTCTTCTTTTTCTTCCTACACATTGACCACTGGGAAAGGTAAAGTTACAGTTGTTGATGGATCCCCAGCTCCGATCTCTGGTTTGGATGAATTTAAGCTTTCCCACAACCTTTCCTTAAAATTTGTCCTTCATGTTCCCCAATTGCATAAAAATCTATTATCTATTAGTTCTCTTACTAAATCTCATAATTGCTTTGTGACTTTCTTTCCTATCCACTATGTTTTTCAAGACTTGAGCACGGGGAGGACGATTGAAAGTGGACTTGAAGTTGAAAGAGTCTACCATTTTTATAAAGCTTTGGAACAAGGAATGTTGTGTCAGGCTGAGTCCTCTACAAGTCAAAAATTTAGTCTTTTACAACTATGGCATTGTCGTCTTGGTCATGTTATCTTTTGGTTCTATTAAACTTTTGTTTCCAAAGTTGTTTGAGTCAGTATTAAACTTGAGTCCTGATTGTGAAGTTTATCATTTGTCAAAACAATGTAGAATCACATATTTTGCAAGTAATAGATCTGAGGATCAACTTGCTGATTGCTTTACTAAAGGAGTTCACAAGCCAAAAGTTCGATAATAACCTAGGCAAGCTAATCATGATAAATATCTATACTTATCTTGAGGGGGAGTGTTGAGAATATGCAATATGATGAAAGGGTTTTTTTTGGGTACTTTTTTATTTCCTCTTTGTTTTAGGTGCTCAAGGGCAAACTTGTACTTTCAGCAACATTATAAATTTTTAGTCTTGGTGTGAACAGTAACTCGAGACACACCTTCGTAACATTTCTTCTTCTTCTCTTCTTCCCCTCCTTTCTCTTCTTCTTCCTTTGTTTTTAGGCTTCACCTTAAACAACTAGGGCATTTACTGTACACATTGTATAGAGAACCCTCATTGCTCAATGAGCAGCTTTGCTATCCTTTTTTTGTTGAGCCTTGAGGCTTTGTACATTTTCTTTTCTTAGACATTCATACAAATAGATACTGTTGTCAGTTGCTTATGTATTCAGGTTTAGTACCATAAGGGTACTGTTGTAATTTCTCCTCTGTTTATATTGTTCGACTGTACTAGTATAAATAATAAAATCATTCTTTCGCCCCCAATGTTCTAGAGGACTTTCAGTCACTCGACTCACCTCTCTTCTCTCTTCTCCTCTCCTCTCTTCACTTGCTCTTGCTCAACGGATACGTTTACCGCCTTCAACAAAAGAAGAAAAAAAAAAGAAACAACGGAAATGGAAAATATAAGTCCTAACCTACCCCTTCAACTGATGTTCCTGCAATTGCATTTGAAGTTGATGGTCAGCTAAAATTCCAGATGAACCTAAAGACGAAACCTTTTCCTTCAAAACAGAAGCTGCAAAGAATATCCAGCAATTAGTATATTCAGTAAAAGATTATCATGTGCCAAGCAATAGAAGAACTACTAATAAGACATCAAGGATAATTTTGGGAAATGAAAAAGTTATATAACCCTTATTTAGTCAACAAGATAGGTAGAAAAAGAAACTTGTAAAAGAAAGAATCCAGTTTTCTCCCAATTTCTCAACCAATGGCAATTTTGTAATTTTATTTAGAGTTTTGGATTTTTGTATTGTTGAGTTTTTAAATTTGTTTTTTTCTTCAAGAAGTTAAAGTATTGAATTGTGTTAATATGCCAAAAATAGAATTTATAAAAGCCCATGTACATTGACAAACTGTACATTGGGAAAACATACAAAAAGAGAAAAGCATATATAGCGTCAAACAAAAAAAGGTACAACCCCCAAAATAAGTGCTAAGATGGACTCCCTCGCTTTTTGTACACCTAAGTCCTAACCAAGAACATAGTATCCCTTGAGATTTCATTTTATCTTATCTATATATCAGTGTAATTATTCTCAAGTGTGATTATTTCTCTCTCCAAATTGCTTTCTAGTTTGTTGGTCTCTTAGGAATATAGCTTTTAAGTCTTCAAGAAATTTATTATTCTGAGAAAGTGAAATTATCATGTATTGTAACCATCACATTTACTATTTATAGTGATTTCCATAATTACTATTCATAGTAAAATCATTATTTTCTATGTTTACTAATTTCTGTTTATTTACAATAATTTAGTTTAGTAGGACAGAAAATGTTAATGAAGGTATTTTAGGAGTTAAAGCTCTTATTTGGATGTCACTATTATTGGGTTGCCTTGGTTTTAAAGTTGTAAATTTTTTTTGTCATTTTCCTAGTTGAAGTTGGAATCTGAAAAAGGATATCTGAACCATCATGTTTTTTTTTTTGTGATGAATAAGAAAAATTAATAAATAAACAATATGATGGCTCAGATATCAATTTTTCAGATTCCAACTTCAACTAGGAAAATGACAAAAAAAAATTGTTTTTTGTTGTTTATTCTATGATGGTTCAAATATTCATGTTGCTTATTCTATGAATAGAATCATTATAATTGGAATTTAAGAGTGGAATTAGTAATGTTGAAGATTAATTAGTTTTATGATGTTTTTCTGAGTAGATGTTTTATGTTAGTTGTTAGATAGGAGGTGGGGACCACAGTAGTTATGTGAGTCCAAATTTTATTATGTTTTTTGAGTGTAATATATGCTGTTTTATGTTTTGCTGCCCTATAAGGGCATAGTTGTCTTTGTACTGTTCTATTATTTTAGTATAAATAATAAGTGAAGGGGCGGCCAGATTATTGCTCTCTTTTCTTTCAACTTCTCTTCTTCTCTTCTTCTCCTTCTCTCTTCCTTCTCTCTTCAAGAAACTACTTTCTTTCATATTTTTTAAATCAGCAGATTTCTACTTGGGCTAGGGTTTCTTGAAGCATTCTCATGCAGCCCTAAATCAGCCGACTGCATGAAGTAGTAAAGGGCTGATCAATCTGCTGCTATAGATTGCCCAGTTCTTGGAGTTTGATGGATAATAGGAACACGAGGTTTGATGGATAATACCATGTTGTTCCAAATATTCCTGAAATGGTGTGTAAAAATACTCGTGGCCATTATTAGAATGAAGAATTTTAATGTATACACCAAATTGATTGCAAATAGCAACGTTAAATTTTTGGAGATAGAAAACAATTCACTCATTTCTTTCATAAGGTAAAGCCATTTCATCCTCGAATAATTGTTATCTTTCCTAGATAGAGAGAGACGAGAAAGAAGATAAGAGAGAGGAGAAAATAAGAGAGAGGAGAAGAGAAGGGAGAGAGAGAGAGAGAGAGAGAAAGATTGGGAGTCAAAAAACTTTAGCTAGTGGCACCCAACTTATTATTTATATTAACTTAATATAAAGAATAAGAAAATATAAGTATGCCCTTAGCAGCACTCCCTGCTAACAAACAAGAAAGAAAGAAAAAAAAAATTGGCTGACAACATCTTAGGCTGACAGCATACTACCAACAACTGTAAAATAACAAAATTAATAACCCTCACAACACTCCCCCTCAAGTTGGGCTGAATATGTCTATCATGCCCAGCTTGTCACATAACTCATTATGCCATGAGTAGTCCTTTTGTGAGGACATCAGCAAGTTATTCCTTGGAGTTGACATAAGGGATGCAAATTTCACTTTTTTCCAATTTTTCCCTTATGAAGTATTTGTCCACTTCAATGTGCTTGGTCCTCCCATGTAGGACAAGATTGCTGGCGATGTTTATGGCTGCCTTATTGTCACCGTAAAGAGACATAGGATTATGAAAAGCAACTCCAAGCTCCCCTAGAAGGCTTTTTAGACAAAGAACTTCAGCCACCCCATGTGCATAGCTCTATATTCCGCTTCAGCACTTAACCTTGCTATCACACTTTGTTTCTTGCTTTTCCAAGTCACTAGGTTTCCTCCCACAAATGTGCAATACCCACGTGAACTTTCTGTCATCCACAACACCTGCCCAATCAGCATCTGTAAAGACTTCTACCTTTAGGTGATTATGTTTACTGAATAGTAGACCTGTTCTTATATACTTTTTTAAGTATCTAAGAACTCTCTCTACTGCCTCCATGTGTGGTTTCTTAGGAGAGTGCATGAATTGGCTCAGGACCCCAACTGAATAGGCAATGTTTGGACGAGTCATGGACAAATAAATCAATTTTCCCACTAACCTTTGGAACTATTTCACATCTTTCAGAGGTTCACCATCACAATCACCCAATTTATGATCAACATCCATAGGAGTATTTGCTGGCCTTGCACCTAACTTGCTTGTGTCTTGTAACAGATCAAGGGTGTACTTCGTTTGAGAAATGAAGATGCCCATTTTTGAGCGGGCAACTTCAATTCCAAGAAAATACTTTAGAGGACCTAGATCTTTCACTTCAAATTTAGATGCAAGGAATTGTTTCAACTTTTGGGTGCACTTGCTATGTTCATGTTCACAGCCATCAAAGACATAAGTTTGAGCCTAAAGCACACGTGTGTCCTCCAAGGATATGCCTTCACACAAAAGGGGTATTGTTTTGGTCCAGTTTGTGGCATTCACTTTGTTTCCAGGGATGTCACATTTGCTAAGTCTATTCCTTTCTTTGGTACTTCCTAAGGGGGAGCATTCAAAGGAGTTGTTTACGGTGTTACCAACTATTCCTCTTTTGGTTCCTCTTAAGTCTTCTATTGAGTCTCCTCTCATTAAGTCTTTTATTGGGTCGGCTTCACGTATTCCTACTCCCCCTCCTCCTCTAGCTCATCCTCTCACATTTACTTCCCATCCCATTGTCCAAAAGTGGTACCAAAGACAAAGACTCAGGTATGAGAAAGTTGTTTCCACACCTTCTATTGAGCCTCTTGCACCTCCCATCACTACTGAGGTAACGGGTCAACAACCCTCTACCACTTTTGATACCTTACCAGACCTTGATCTCCTTATTGCCCTTCGCAAAGGCAAACGGAAGTGTACAGCCCATTGCATTTCCAAACACCTATCCTACAGCCTTCTTTCCCCCACCTATTATTCCTTTCTTGCCTCTGTTTCTAAACATGTGATTCCCGGGTCTATCCTAGAAGCTTTATCCAAACCAAAATGGAGGGATGATATGATGACTAAACTAGATGTTTTGCAATAAGAACAATACCTATGAAATTGTGGATTTTCCTGAGGGGAAGGAACCAGTTGGTTGTAAATGGGTGTTCACTATCAAGTATCATTCAAATGGTACTATTGAGAGGTTTAAGGCCCGTTTGGTTGCTAAAGGATACACTCAAATGTATGGTATTGATTACCTGGAGACTTTTGCCCTAGTGGCCAAAATGACTTTAGTTCGATTTTGCTATCTTTGGCTGCTACTTTTGATTGGCCACTTCATCAATTTGATGTTAAAAATGCTTTCTTAAATGGAGACCTACATGAAGAGGTCTATATGTTATTACCTCTAGGGGTGTATGCAAAAGAGATATAAGGGAAAGTGTAAATTGAGAAAGTTTCTTTATGGCCTCAAACAGTCTCCTAGAGCCTGGTTTGAGAGATTTCGGGCTTCCCTTTTTACTTTTGGTTACACACAAACTCAGCCTGATCATACCCTATTTGTTAAGAGGAGAAATTCCTTTGTGACCCTTCTGATTGTCTATGTTGATGATATTATGGTTACTAGTAACACTACTCAAGAAGTGATTCATCTCAAAAGGTTTCTTAACACTGAGTTTAAGATTAAAGACTTGGGTGAACTCAGATATTTCTTGGGAATTGAAGTTTCCATGAACTGGCAAACTGAGTGCTAAACCAACATCCATTCCTATAACCCTCAATCACAAGCTTTCAGCTACTGATGGTGAACTGTTGACTAATAGGGAAGTGTTCTAGAGATTGCTTGGGAAGTTGCTATATCTTTGCATGACTTGACCAGATATTTCCTATCAAGTTAGTGTCATTAGTCAGTTCATGCACTCTTCCAGAGATACACATTTAGCAGCTGTTGAGAGGGTTCTGTGTTACCAGAAAGTGACTCTAGGGAAAAGTATCTTGTTTGCTAAGAATGGACATATGAAGTTGGAAGCATACACTAATGCTGACTGGGTTGGATGTATTGATGATGGGAAATCCATTTCAAGTTATTGTGCTATAGTGGCAAAGAACATTGTGTCATGGATAAGTAAGAAGCATTCAGTAGTGGCTAGATCCTTGGCTAAAGTAGAGTACAGAGAAATGACACATGGAATTTCAGAACTTTTGTAGTTGAGACCACTTTTAGAAGAATTGGGCATTGATTGTGAGAATCCAATGATGTTATATTGTGACAACCAAGCCGCCATCAACATTGCACATAATCTCCTGTTCAGCATGATAGAACTAAGCACATAGAGGTTAACAAGCACTTTATACAGGAGAGAGTTGCTTCAGGAGAGTCTTCTTGCCATTTATTGCTTCTAAAGAACAGTTG